AGATTGTGCTGTGATCAAACTAACATTTTCCACACTAAGGGCTGTTATAGAAGGATTGTCTGGTTTTACATTCCTGTACCTTGAACTATCTTATCAGGATGGGAGTCTGACAGAAAGCAGCAGCACAGGAAGTGAATATCTGGATCCCACTGCTAAGATTTTCAGAATACATCCTCCTTTTGCCTAAATTATTTCATTGGTAAAATGGGAAGCATCCCAGATATTTGCTGCAACAGAAGCAACAAGACACAGGAACTTATAAGGCCATGACCTAGTTCCAGCTCTGCCACTGATTAGCCTGGTCACCTGTTTCAGCTTTACTCCATGTATCCATAAAACAAAATCATCTAAAAGAAGTTAGAGTTAAAATGTGAGTCATGCAGCCAGGCATAGTAGCACACACCCATAATCCCAGCACTCTGGAGGCTGAGGCAGAAAGATCACTGCAAGTTTGAGGCCAGCCTGGCCTCCATAGCGAGTTAAAGGCCAATCTGAACTACATAGCAAGATTCTGCCTCAAAAAATAAATACATACAGAAATAGTCATAACCCTGCTCAAAGGAGATTTCATGTAGTGACATTTTTATTATGATGACAAGTATCATAATTAAACTTCTTCAAGGCACATCTTATTCCTTACCATTTTGATGTCTATCTGCACTGCTAGTCAGACCCCCATCCTCAGGTAGTTGAGAGAATTGATTTAGACCAGGTACAGTTGTTCTAGTTGCCCTCCTGTGGTTTGGGTCTTGCTTTTGCCTCTCATTCTTTGCTAAACTCGGGGTACCTGTAGGGGGTTTTGTTCTTTCTCACTGAGTCCACACTAATATGCTCTCCTCAGCTTGTGGAGCGCTAATGTTGTGTACTATTCCATGCTGGAAGCCTTTGCTAATTGAAACTTCCTAATGATGACCTTCGCCTGTCTCATCTTCCCCTCCTCTTTTGTTGTTATCAACTCAAGTACAGCCCTATTGGTATGACCTTCCCAGTGTGATTTTTAACTTCAGCAGTTCACCCTTATCTGCAGAAGATACATTCCAAGATGCTTAATAAATTCAGACACTATGGATCGTACCAAAACTTACTCTTTTCATGTATACACAACCTAAACGCAGTGCCTTTTCCATCTTAATGAAGCACTTACCACACAGTGGCTATCTTTTGCACTTTGAAGTTTGACAAGAAAACCAACATAAATTTCTTTGTTCCTAATTACCATTTCATATATAGAAGAATAATTCTTACCATAGAGCTGAACAACCTCAGTATATATATTTTTTGCTCCTTATTAAATAAAAAGCTTCCACCTTTTCACTTAGGGAAGCACTTTACAGCTTCTCTTTGGCACAAACTATCAGCATCTCTACTCTTATGCTTGGCACCTCTATTAAGTAAAATAAGAGTTATTTGATAAAAAGCAATAGATATCAAAATAGTAAATCAAATACTCAACGTAGCTACTAAGTGACTAAATATTAGATAGTATACTCAGCATAGATACTCTGAACAAAAGGGATGATTCCCATCTAGGGCAAGACAGAGTAGGGCAACCTAAGAATTTGTCATGCTATTCAGAACAGGTACATAATTTAAAATTCATAAAATTGCTTTCTGGAATGTTCCAATAAATATTTTCATACTTCTTATGTAATTGGGACTACAGAAACTGTAAGTGAAACAACAGAGAAGGGGTACTTCAGTACCTTTTTCATTTATTTCAACCCAGAGTTATCCTGACCTGTAGGTTCCTCCGTGTTCCCAGAGTCACCACCGAAAGTCCTTCCTTTATACATCAAAACTTAATACACTGTGCAGGCACCATCTCAATCACTTGTACTGACCTGTGGAACAATTATGCCAGCTAATTGTATTGAGAGTCCATAGTATTCTATTTAAACTTAGCAGTATACTTATATTCCTTCAGTGACAAGGTTGATAAGGGTATCATCTGACTTGGATGCCTTAATTCAGTGATGCCTTTGAACTTTGCACCATGGCTTCATACCAAGATACATGTTTATACTGCAGCTTGGTATATCATGAGGTCAGATATATTTACATTTAAAACTTTGCATAGCATAATATGTATTCTTATGACTTTTGATGCCCTATAATGTTTTCTCTCTTTTCTGTTCTTTGTCATTTTTTTTTTTTTCTGGTGTAAATTGACTTCACAACCATTAGTCCAAATTGTAAAAGACAACATTGTTATCATAGTACACATAGTAGGAATACTCTTGTGTATATTTAAGTTGACTGAGCATTTGAGAATATCATTGAAGTGCTATTGCTTATTTGTAAACATTTCCAACTAATCCACTTCACTATAGTATGTTTTTGGGTTTTAATTTCTCCAAAAAAATCTTTTATATTATCAAAAC